TAATATTTCCTGGGAGAGAGAAAGTTATATTCCTAAGTGATATAGTCACTGGTAAAGTCTGTTTTTCAGTTAGTAACTCCCTATCCATACTAATGTAGCCAAGCATAATGAATATAAATATAAATAAACTAAAATAAGACATGAAAATAGTAGGTGAACAGGTTGATGACAAGTAGGTGACAAGACAGAGAGAAGAGATAGATGATAATGGAGATGAAATAATTGAAGTACATTGCACTAGGGGTTTATGAAAGAGATTTTAAAAGATTATTTTTCTAGAATGTGGCACTTTCTAAATAGGAGAATGTTTAGAGATTCCTGCTCATGGATTCTTATTCAATGTTATAAAATTATGTCATAAAATCTAAAGATGATAAAAGACAGCCTGAGAAGAATATGTATGTTCAATATTGCACCAGAAACTATGAGTGTGAGATTTTCCTCCAAAGTTAAGGATAAAAATGAAGCATTCATTTTAGAATTGCAAATATAGACTCATTTGATCCTATCAATTTGTGTCTTGATAAGTTTCCTTAAAATTGCATTTCTGAAGATATACTTGTATAATGACTATTTTAAACATATGTAATTTAGGTCAAAAGTGAACTAGAATAAAACCTAGCATATACTTTAAATTCAAAGCTCCTTCTGTTCTTTCTCTTTTTCCTTATATCTTTCCTTTCTTTCTTTCTTTCTTTCTCTCTCTCTCTCTCTCTCTCTCTCTCTCTCTCTCTCTCTCTTTCTTTCTTTCTTTTTTTCTTTCACCTATAGACTTGTGTGGTTCCCTAACATCACAACAGATACCACAGCTGTAAACTCATATCTTTGGAAGTATTTGTCATGTACATGTTTGATTATCTCATTGCTTAAGAAGAATATTTTCCAGCTGTGCCTTTGCACTGAAGGAAATGAATCCATTAGTATAAAGCTCTCTGCTGTCAAAGCCCCTGGAGGATCCAGTGCCATATGGTGCATCTCCCCTCCCGTGGAGTGTGGAACGGTGGGTGTGGCCCCGTGGTTACTCCTGTGCTGAGGTAAGTGCAGCTTTGCTCTCACTCCAGGAGTCCCAGTAAAAAGAATAAATTTCCTTCATACAATAAGCACATAAATGCCTTTGCCAACCTCTTGGCAATATCTTTTCCTCAAGCTGGCAAACAAAATTCAACAGATGCTCCCCCAGATGACTCCACACTGATGAGCATTATATATGCAATCTATCTCATATGATTACACAACATAGATCATCATAAACATTGCATGTTTCACAGTCTGTCTGCCAACTGATCTATGGTTCTAGAAGCTTCCTGGGCAAGAAATCACTGTGCATTTGAATGTCTGCCCACACATCCAATAGGGACAAATAAAATGTGTGACCACAAACCTTAGCATCTCCCCCAATATATTGTAGGGGAGAGAGATGAGTTCTCAAGAAACTGACTTCCAATGAAGAAATCACAGCCACCAGGAAGGCTGGATAAACTCAAAAACCTTGACAGGAAGATTAAAAGTTCACATTATAGAATATTCCTGTATTTTGTGCCAATGGAACGATGTTCCATCAATACGAGAAGTGCAATAACCCATCACTGGATAGCCTTCCATCATTTACCTTCCAGTATGTTGCTCATTCAGTCTCTGGGAAACAATTTGCACAATTAAGAAATGAAGTTTAAAATAGACATGGACACTTAGCCTGAAATTTTTATCTCTGCTGCTCATTAGTTATATGACATTTGGAACATTAATCAATTTTAAATGTTGATAAGTAATGACTACCTTTTGCGAGGCACTACACAATACCAGGTACTTAAATATGAAAATGTCACAAAACTAAGTCATTAAAAAGTCAGAGCTGTCACCTAGTTTTAACATCATAAAAATATAAATTTTGGTGACTATACCTCTACATTAAAGAAGAAAAATAAAGCTTAAAATATTTAAATTATCTGATAAATGTTATATACAAACTAAGTCACAAATCTGTCTTGAGCTTCGAAGATTCAACTCTAATACCTCTCCTTGAAAATCAACAGCAATCACATGCAGTTAAAAGCAAGGTAAGGGTCAAAATACTAATTTTATTAATTATTTTATTTATTTACATTACAAATGTTACTCTCCTTCCCAGTTTTCCCTCTGAAAACCCCCTATCCCATCACCCCTTCCCCTGCTTCTATGAAGGTGTTACCCCACCCACCCATCCTTTCCTGCCTTACCGACCTAACATTCACCTATGACGGAGTATAGAACCTTCACTCCCATTGATGCTAGATAAGGCTATCCTCTGCCTCATGTGCAGCTGGAGCCATGGGTCCCTCCATGTATACTCTTTGGTTTGTGGTTTAGTCCTCGGGAGCTCTGGGGGGCAGAGGGTCTGGTTGATTGTCTTATTAGTTAGTTGAGAACTTTTAGTTGAGAACTTCTACATGTTTTATCATATTAATCTTCCTAACTATTATGTGATCCATCCCTCCTCTTGTAACCACCCAACTTTATGTACTTGCCTTTTTAAAGTGAAATTAAATTTATGTATATCACATATTCTTGGATGTGTGGCCTTATACTAGAGAGTGGTTAACTTACATCGGACATGCTCTTAGAGAAAACTGATTTTCCCTTCCCGTGCATTTGTACTGTGTGTGTTTTCACAATTGCTACGAATTCAATATCCTTAGCCACCAAGGAAAGGCAAATTAATACTATTTGAAATTTCATCTTACCAAAGTTAGAAAGGCTAAGTTTAAAAAGGAAAACAAAAAGTTGGCATGGATGTGGGAGGGCACTTATTCACTGTTGGTGGGAGTGGAACTTATGCAGATACTGTAGAATATATATGAAAGTTCCTCAAAAATTTCAAAATAGAACTACCATGTGATTGAGCTATACTATTCTTGGAAATGGACCTCAAGAACTCTTATATACTACTCATATGCTACTATAGACAAATATATTCACCAATGCACTACTCTTCAATAGATAATATATGCAAGCAGCCTAGGTATCCACTAACTAAGGAATGAGTAGTAAAAATGTAGTATATTTATAAAATAGTATATTAATGAGTTAGCAATGAAAATAAAATTTGCAGGTAGTAAATCAATGAATCTGGAAACAATCATCATGAGTAAAATAACACAGACATAGGAAGACAAATGTCACATATTTTCTTTCACATATAAATGTTCTCTTTGAATATTCCAGGATATGTGTTTGATTTGAAATGTCCAAAGGGGTCACGAAATTAATAGGCAGATGTGGTGCTTTTAATAAGAGAGAGAAGATAAAACAAAAAAGTATAAAAAAATTAAAATGTCTTAAATTGGTAAGGCTCTGTGCAGAATCTTACCAGTCCTTGGATTACCAGACTGTTAATTAATTAACTCTGTCTGAGAGTCCATTTTGAGTTTCAAGCCATGTACTTTGGCTGCCAACATGTTTATGTTGTTAAAGACAAGCTTTAAAATGATGGATAATAATAAAAGTATTCCCAAGACAGAAAGGGTTAGCATGATCAAGCTATATATACCATTCTTGAAGCTTGACTAAAATAGAAATACTGACCTCAGGCCCTGGGTAATTTTATCAGCAGTATCTGCCACATCAAAGCTCAGAAGAGCAGTATTCTTTAAGATCATAAGTTGTGCCCTTCCCCCAGCCTTGAGCAGGCCTAAGAGATGAGACCTTGTTTACCACAATAGACCAAACAATAGGACTCTGGCCGTAGGCATTTCCTGCACTTGGCAAGGAGGCAGTGCTTGCCTTGGTGCCTTTCTGTCTGCCTGTAGCCTGGTACACAAGCTGAGAAGAATAGACTGCCTGCTGAGCTTGCTTTGAGACATCTCCGCCCCCCCCCCC